CTCCACGGGGATGGCCTGAGATATGGCAATAGGCTTTGGGAGCACACCCTGGGTACGATCCACACCCATTTTGTCAACTATAAGGTGGACTTGGATGTCGGAGGTAGGTCTGGATCTTCTTTTAATGTCTGCCATTGTTCTGGTAAGCCCCAGAGCTTTGAGGTTGGCCTCCTTGTCCATACGGTCCCTAATATCTGACATCAGAACTCTGCTTCTTTTTTCTCCTAACCTCTTCTTGCATTGCAAAATTATTTTTCGCTATATAAAACAGTCTGTCAAGGTCATTGAGTGGAAAGCAGTGGGAATTTCTGGGAGCTGTGTGTTCAGCTCAGGGAAAGTATGAAAGGTAGCGGCTGGAAAATGTTTGTGTTTCCTTGAGGCCTCACGTCTGGCACGGTGTGTGTTGCCATAGGCATGGGCGGGCAGACAGGGAGGTGGCCCTGTCTGAGCACAGACAGAGTGAGCCTGCTTGCGCAGCGCCTGCTGCTGCTCCTGGCACTCCTTCTCCCTTGGGAAAATCCTCCTCGTGTCTCACTGCCCCATGTAAAGCAGGGCAGCTGTCCTGGTGCTCCGTGGGGCTGAGCTCCTGCAGGTCTCTCCCCTTCTCTTGAGGAAACACTCGGGCATTGGATCCCGAGTTGAGGAGCCACCACAGCGACCCAGTGAGCTCCTGTAGTGAAGTCACATTGTGGCACTGGATGTCTGCACAGCGTTATTTGAGCCCAGAGCAGCCCCCTGCTCACAGTGAAGTGCTGGCAGCCCCCCTGGAAGTGCAGGGATGCTCAGCCTCAGGGGCACCTCTGAGTCCCCCGGGAGGCGATGGCAGCACCTGCAGTCCGGGGACAGTGGGGCCACACACAGTGCCTGTTATTGAAAACCTCTTCTGTAAAAGGCAGAGGGAAAATGTTTTACATCTGCATGGGACCAAAGAGGTCGCTGGTGGGCAGTGGCTACATCTGAACCAGCCCAAAGAGAAACACAGCCCCAGGGATCCTGGCTGTCTCCTGAATTGTGGAAAGTAACCTCAGAGCTATGTTGGTCAAGCTGCAGCTAACCCCAGAGCAAGAATGTGGTCCCAGCATGTGTCCTCCTGCAATACAGGGGTTTGTGTGGCCTTGAAAGGTGCTGCTGCTGTTGTTACGGTCAAAATCGGGGCTGATGGTGGTTCCCTCCTGCAAGCAAGGCTGGAGAATGTGCTAAAATACAGTTCCTGTTTGGGGGCAAGGCCCTTTTCTGTGACTTCAGTGCTCCTCTGCTTACAGAGCCTGAGCCCTGAGTGCTGTAAAGCTCTCTGGAGCAGGGTTGTGTAAATCTCAGACTTGTTCCCTGTGGTGAGAGGGGAGCCGTGCTCAGGCAGGAGGGCTCGGGGCCGTGCAGGGAGCTCGGGCAGCTCCCACAGGAGCTGCACCTTCAGTGCCGGGGCACGGCTGGGCCACAGCCAAAGTGGCTCATTGCCCACACAGGTTCTTGGAGCCTGATCTGAGGCTGCTCTGGGGCTTGCAGGGAAAAGGGGCAATTATTGCCTAGTTGGAAGTGGGAAGGAAAACCTAATTCCTAAATTAACACAGATGCAAACGGAGTAAATGGCAGCAGTGCTGTGGTGGTTCTGGCCCCTCCTGGCTGTGCCTCAGACTCTCCCCAGCAGGAGAGCCCTGATCTCCAAAAATCCACCCTGTCTGGTGGGCCCTGATCTCCAAAATTCCATCCTTGCTGTCGGTGCGTGTCGCTGCCCTGCATGGGGCCAGGAGCCATGGCGGAGCCTTGCAGGAGCTGGTGGCCCTGCAGGAGCAGCTGCCTCACACCATTTCTGTCCAGGGCAGCTCTTGTGCAAAGATCACCTCTGCTGGAATGGGACAGGAGTGGTTCAGCAAGTGCTGCCCTTTCTCACCATGGAGCTGCCTCTGGTCTGCCCACAGCCAGAAGCAGGCTGGAGCTGCCAGGTCCCTTCCTTCAGGGCTGGGAAGGTCTTGGAGGCACCAGAGAATGGTGACAGGAAGAACTGGCATGTGGAGATGCTGGGAGCCAGCAGGTCTCGGGCTGTGCCAGCAGAGACCGGCCCCTCAGGGCAGTGGGGCAGGTCCAAGGGCACTGGGTGCAGAAGGACCAGGCTGGCTGAGCCTTCCCCCTTGGCATCACCATGATCCAAGAGACGACAGAGGTGGAGCATCCTGGGAGACAGAGAAAGAAACAAAGGCCCCTGGGACAGATGAGACTGGGGCTCTTTGTGGTGTCACCCTGCAGCAGAGAAACCCATCAGTAGGTTGTTGATTGAGCCAGGCACTGGCTGCCAGGCTGGCTCCTTTGGTGCATCTGGGGTGGGGAGAAAACAAGCCAAACTGGCTGGGGCCTGTGATCTCCTCTCAGAGACCCACAGGACCTACAAGTTCCCTCCCCACCTCACAAGCGTTGCCATTACGCCCACGGTTGCAAATGAATAAAGAGCCTGGTCTGCAGGTGAGGGACGTGCTCTGGATCCTTCAGCCACCCTGCGAGTGCTGTCACTGCACCCGGCGTGATGAACCCCAGACTTCCCTACGTTCTCCTGGTCGGGGCCGCAGTGATAATCTTCATTCTCTCCTGCATGCTGCTGAGCAGGGGTGGGCGGTCGCCCAGCTGTGAATCCCAGCCCAGGGTTGAGGAGAAGACAGGATCCATGAGCCAGAGCCTGGTGTTTGCTGACCTGACACCCGAGGAGATGTCCCAGGTGGTGCGGTACCTGCAGGGACACCTCGGGGTGCCGCTGGTGGA